TGGAGCCCGGAGATCTCAACGCTGAAATAGACATTATTTGTTTTCTTTAATGTTAATGAGATTGCCATATACCTAGCAGAAGAAACTGGAAGAAAAAACATGTAATTTTCTATTTGTACATATATTCTGTTAGAATTTATTTTGATTTATTTTCTTTTTTTATTATATATAATTTTTAAATAATTTTATTTTTTATTATTTTTTATTTTAATCTTATTTTCATTTTTATTTTTATTTGCATTTTTTTATATTTTATTTTAAATTTTTACTTTTATTTTTATATTTATTTTATTTTTATATTTATTTTTATTTTGATGTATATATTTTCTTATTTTTATTTTCATATATATAGCTTTTTTATATTTATTTTTCTTTCTTCGTTGGTTCAGATGTTAGGAAGTGGCATTCCCATATTTCAAACTAAAGATGTATGTACCAAAAGCAACCAAAAAAAATCTAGAGGTCTTATAATCCTTTTACATGGAAGTGACTGGCACTCAACACATAACAATATTGCCATTAATTATTTAGATGCCTAGAAATCAGAATTATTGGTAAATTAGCCACATGGGCAAAACACCTCACCTTTCATGTATACATATAAACCTTAAGGAGCAAGATCTCTGTGTTTTTCTGTTTGCAAAAAGATCCTGTACTTTGTAAATAACTGTTCCGTTTTTCATTTACATATAACTTTGATTCTCTTGACTTTGTGAGCCTCAAGGGCTCCCATCATTAATCTATTCATCAAAGGAAGCTACAGGTGGAACGCACGTTTCCCTCTGGTGAAATGCACACGCCCACTTTGATCATAGGAATGAATCGCCGAACTGGAAGTGACGTTGCGACATCATGAAATTGGCGAAACCTGGGAAATTCAATTACAGACAGCTGCATCAAAGAACAGACGCCCAATGAAGCACCAATGAGGAGGAACAACCTTCAGTATAAAAGAAAGGACTCGGTGGGAGGGTTTTTATTGTTCATTTGTATCCGTTTTATTGCTGTTACATATCTGCATACCAGGGGGCCCTGAGGAAGTCCATTTGGACGAAACGCGTAGGACCTGGTACCATAACCGCTTATTTGTGTACTTATACTTTTAATTCTTTTAAATAAAGAAGAAACCTTTTTTTTTACTCCACATACTGTGAGGGAGAATGTGAGTGTAGTGGATGAAAATAAAAACAACTGTGATAAAAATTCAAGCGCACTTAAAAACGTGAGGTGCGTCTGACTAAGAGTGATAGGAAGGGGAATCACACAACCTCGTTCTGATAAAGTAAAACACTAGTGTGTTATAAGCACAAATTTCAAACATATACTAAGTGTATGCATCTTATCAATCAAATGTAACAAGTACACTATAACTTTATAATTTATTACATAAATTACAGTCAAGTATATAGCACTTAGTGAAAAAAGTGATAAGTGCTCTCTATCCAATAAAGCAGCTATTCGCCAACAAGGAGTTCCTTTTACCTTGTGAACAATAGAACAAAACAAGTTAGTAAATTAGGAGATTAAGTGGAGATTAAGGATTGCCTACAAGGACTGGTTTTATTTATAGTTCTTTTTACTATATTATTCACTTTTAAATAGTTTTATTCATTCAGTTTATTAATAAAGATTCTGTTTTAATACCCAGTCACTCTTGAGCTCCTTATACTCTCACCATCACTCTGCTGTTCCGGATCTACATATATCCCTAGGTGTGGATTGTTCCACCTAAAGCTCCATACACTAGAGCAGGTCATTGCTCTAGCAAATGTAAGTAGGTCAAATATTATTTACTTATCCTACTTTTAAATACGTACTGTACCATTGGTATACATCCTTATTTTTTTCATATGATGAACCGCACTACCTTGGAAATCTGATACCTGCAAAAAGAAATCCTTAGACGGTGATTGTTCCGTCCAGGCTCCTAAAATAGAGCTTTTTAAGCTCTGGAAAACGTGAGTGCCCCTTTGGAATATATCTTTATCACCATATTATTCATAACATACTGCACTATCATTGTACTTTTATTTCCTTTTTTTTAAGAGTAAGACACATAATTGTGAAAGCTGCTGCTACCTGTGTATGTATGATTTTATTATAATAATTCTTAGCGCTGTCCACCTAATTTACTAGCTAGCATATAGCATTGAAGATCTGTCCGTACCCCTGTTTTATGTTTTCCACAACTATGATTCACCCGGCATAAAGAGAAGAGAGATTATTTCTATCCAATCTATATTATATTATTTAGTGTACATATGATTGAAGAATTAATAAATCCAAGCGTAAGGTGTAATCAAAACTCCTGTTGTGGGCATGAAAGTGGCTCCACGTTCGGTTTCGTAAGGATTCAGCTCTGTGTGTGTCCACTAGCCTGACACATAAAGAGCTATTCACCCTCTGGTATGGGAATAACATATAACAACTTGGAACTAGTGGCTGATATCTACTTCCAGCCCGTACTACTCTAGTGAGGGCCAAATATATCAAGACCTAGAATTAATATCATAATAGATCATTGAAAGTTGATCAAACAAAGAAAAACTACTGTCAGGCAAACACATAAATCAGATAATATCTATACAAATAAAATGAAAAAAAAAATAGAATACAAAATGAAATTGAATAAAAATACATAAAGAAAATCTATTATTTCTACTTCTATATGTATTTTTATTCAATTTTATTTTGTATTTTATTTTTTCATTTTGAAACTTTCTCATTCTCCATTGAGCCCACATTGTTATTCCTATAGTGGAGGACAGTGAACCCAGTAGACTCATTGCTTTCTCTGCTGAGGGTACATTGGATGCCAACATTACTTTTACTTTGATTATCAGTCTCGTACCTCTTTCTTTTGACAGTTGTATTCTGTGTTTGGATGTGTTGAACAGTGCTCCCAGGTAAATCATTGTCTGAGATGGGTGAGTTGACTTCTCGCAATGTTGATTTTCTATCCATGACATTGGAGGAACTGTAGACAGATTTGCCCATGAATTAATAGTGTATCTTTCTTCTCTGCTAGGACCAAGAGTTTGTCTACGTAATGGAATATAGCAATACCCTGTGAGTTTGGCTATTAGTACTACCAGAACTTTGGAGAATGTCCAAGAGGTGCTGTACTCAGGCCAAAGGAAAGGGCCCAAAAATGAAAATGGCCTTTCTCGACTGCAAATCTGAGGTATTTTGATGTTGTGGAGTGATGGGGATATGGAAATAGGCATCTGACAAGTGTATTGATATTATCCATTGACCTGAGAAAACTACCTTTATGATTGACTGTAAGGATTCCATCTTGAACCTGCTTATGTTAAGGAATTTGGTTAGTTTGCACAGATATAGAATAGGTCTCCTTCCTCTTGAGGCTTTTTTGGTCAGAAATATGTGGGAGTAGAATGGGTGAGTCTGTTCTGTTAGGGGCACTTGCACAATAACTCCTTCTTCTTGCAGGGATGAAATTAATGAATGTAAAGGCCATCTTGATATCTGGAATGAGTGTCATGGAGGGGTTCTGAAAAATTCTATGAAATATCCTCTTTGAATTATATCTAGCACCCATCTGTCTTTTGTGGATTGTTCCCATATCTTTCAGAATAGTAGTGGACGTGCTCCTACTCCTCCAGACTGGGATTGCAACCTGTCATGAAGATCTGGAGTTTTTGGGGAAATCCTCTGGACTTCACACCTCTAACTAAGGAATACGAAAAAGGAAAAATCAGCGCTCAACTGCCACACAAATAAATAAAAAAGGCAGCACTTCTCAGAGGGGAGTCCCCTATAACACCCTAGTTATTAAAAGACAAAAACAAATAAAAAAGATAAGGGTGCGCCTAAAATGTATAATAAAACATATACAGAGTATAAAAATTATATAGAATATAAAAATTATAAAATTAAGTGTAAGATAATAAGCAATAGTCCAAAACACTTATCAAGAGTCCGTAATGGTAGGTTCTTTTTGAGGAGACAGGGAATCTTGAGACGTCAGACGGAGATGAATCTTCACAATGGTATGCTCGAATCCAGTGAAGTATATATGAAAGGAAAGCAGAAACAGGAACTCCAATGGTACAGTATATCAATGAGAATTTAGATTCTAAAATAGTGAAAATAGTCGTACTCACACTTTTCAGAGCTAGAACCTAGCTCTGATATTATGCGCGTGAAGTGGAATGATCCCCACTCAAGGATATGCAAAGTAGTGTTTGATTGGAGAGTTTCTGGCCCAGGTTCGGCGTTCGAATTGATATTATTCGACCCAAAATGAGAGAATGAGAATATAGTGCTCTCTGTGTATAATTAAACGTAAAGATGTAAAGTAAATTACTTACATTCTATAAAGCAGACTTGTACTGCTCGGTGTGAACGTTTGGGTGGTATAATCCCCACCTATGGATTCTTTGAGCTCCTTGTAGATGTAGGTCAGGTGCAGAAGTAGAATAAAATAAAGAAAAAATGGCAATAAAGTGTTTTATGCCAAATTAAATTCTTTATTATAAGGTAATTAAATAAAATAGTAATATCTAGACGCGTTTTGCCTCAAAAGGCTTCTTCAAGTAGATAATAATAAAAGAGGGGCACACCTGACCTACAAAGGTTTATATAACATACAATAATACTATGAGGATTTGAAATTCCCGCCAAAATGACGTCATCGAAATGTTAATATTGTAATAAAGCTAAAATCCAGTTGTTACAATGCATATTAATATAATAAAAAGAATTATAAGGTGAGTGTGAAAAAATCATGTAAAAACGAAGGTTAAATAAGATATATAATTAAAAAAGCGATCACGTGACGCGCGGCTAGAATTGCTTCCGCGTCATGTGATGCTCAAGTGGAACACATGCGTTCCGTCTATGTGGAACGCATGCGTCATAATCACATGACGCGCGGCTACAGTTACTTCCGCGTCACGTGATGCTCGGGTAAGACGCATGCGTTCCAATCCAAACGGAAAGCATGTGTCATAAGGTGGGAGGGCTGCTTAACAAAATTTAAATAGGAGGAGGGAGATATTGAGCGCACAGAAACCTCCAGGCTAGTCTGTCTGCATAGACAGGCAGGCAGCCAAGAATAGCATAGCTAAACAGAATGCAGTCTCAAAGGGAAAATGCCACTAAACAGCACCCTCAGTAACAGTATATACACAGGACACATAGTATTACATAAATAAATTATTTAAAAACTCTATACATTATAAGATATATACTGTGTGAATGTAATAAATACATGTTATGGGTTATTAAGTACAGATATTAAAAAATAAAATGTAAAAAATATGAAAAATAAAAGAGGTTAAAATAAATATATGTGAACACAGAATAAAATAAGTAAAATATTAAGACAAGTAATAGAAATAGATTACTAAAAAGATGATTAGTTACAATAAAATCACAGTATGGGTTATTACAAAAAGTTAAAGAGATCAAAATCAATGTTTAACCCTATTGGGGCAAGAGTTTTTAAGTTATATGCCCATTCCATTTCTTTCTTACCTAAAACTTTTTTAATGTCACCCCCTCTCCATGGGATATTACATGTGTCAATACCAATACAGTTAAGATATTTTGGGTTCTTTCCATGTTGTAGGAAATGTTTCGAGACTGAATGGTTTGCATAGCCTTTTAGAATATTTCTACAATGTTCGGCTAGTCTCGTTTTTAAATCTCTGGTAGTCATGCCCACATATAGAAGGCCACAAGGGCATTCCAGGAGGTAAATCACATTTTTCGTATTGCAATGAATAAAATGTTTTATTTGATATGTTTTCTGTGTGATTATTGATGTGAATGATGTAGTTTTAGATTTAATAACATCACTAGTCCGTTTACAGACTATACATCTGTTGCATTTAAAAAAACCATTTAAAAGTAATGTTATGAAGAAGGTTATAAAAAAACATTGGCATATATTAAAACAGGATGAGACTTTATCTGGAATTATCCCTGAGAAACCACAAGTTATATTTAGAGGAGCACCCAGTTTTAAGTCTATCCTTACAAGTAACTACACTAAACAGAGCACTTTATCTCCTAGTCCCTCCACTTTTTTAACTAAACCCAGTGGTTTTTTTAAATGCAACAGATGTATAGTCTGTAAACGGACTAGTGATGTTATTAAATCTAAAACTACATCATTCACATCAATAATCACACAGAAAACATATCAAATAAAACATTTTATTCATTGCAATACGAAAAATTTGATTTAACTCCTGGAATGCCCTTGTGGCCTTCAATATGTGGGCATGACTACCAGAGATTTAAAAACGAGACTAGCCGAACATTGTAGAAATATTCTAAAAGGCTATGAAAACCATTCAGTCTCGAAACATTTCCTACAACATGGAAAGAACCCAAAATATCTTAAATGTATTGGTATTGACACATGTAATATCCCATGGAGAGGGGGTGACATTAAAAAAGTTTTAGGTAAGAAAGAAATGGAATGGGCATATAACTTAAAAACTCTTGCCCCAATAGGGTTAAACATTGATTTTGATCTCTTTAACTTTTTGTAATAACCCATACTGTGATTTTATTGTAACTAATCATCTTTTTAGTAATCTATTTCTATTACTTATCTTAATATTTTACTAATTTTATTCTGTGTTCACATATATTTATTTTAACCTCTTTTATTTTTCATATTTTTTATATTTTTTACATTTTATTTTTTAATATCTGTACTTAATAACCCATAACATGTATTTATTACATTCACACAGTATATATCTTATAATCTATAGAGTTTTTAAATAATTTATTTATGTAATACTATATGTCCAGTGTATATATATATATATATATATATATATATACTGTTACCGAGGGTGCTGTTTAGTGGCATTTTCTCTTTGAGACTGCATTCTGTTTAGCTATGCTATTCTTGGCTGCCTGCCTGTCTATGCAGACAGACTAGCCTGGAGGTTTCTGTGCGCTCAATATCTCCCTCCTCCTATTTAAATTTTGTTAAGCAGCCCTCCCACCTTATGACACATGCATTCCGTTTGGATTGGAACGCATGCGTCTTACCCGAGCATCACGTGACGCGGAACTAATTGTAGCCGCGCGTCACGTGATTATGACGCATGCGTTCCACATAGACGGAACGCAGGCGTTCCACTTGAGCATCACATGACGCGGAAGCAATTCTAGCCGCGCGTCACATGATCGCTTTTTTTATTTTATATCTTATTTAACCTTAGTTTTTACATGATTTTTTCATACTCACCTTATAATTCTTTTTATTATATTAATATCCATTGTAACAACTGGTTTTTAGCTTTATTACAATATTAACATTTCGATGACGTCATTTTGGCGGGAATTTCAAATCCTCATAGTATTATTGTATGTTATATAAACCTTTGTATGTCAGGTGTGCCCCTCTTTTATTATTATCTACTTGAAGAAGCCTTTTGAGGCGAAACGCGTCTAGATATTACTATTTTATTTAATTACCTTATAATAAAGAATTTAATTTGGCATAAAACACTTTATTGCCATTTTTTCTTTATTTTATTCTACTTCTGCACCTGACCTACATCTACAAGGAGCTCAAAGAATCCATAGGTGGGGATTATACCACCCAAACGTTCACACCGAGCAGTACAAGTCTGCTCTATAGAATGTAAGTAATTTACTTTACATCTTTACGTTTAATTATACACAGAGAGCACTATATTCTCATTCTCTCATTTTGGGTCGAATAATATCAATTTGAACGCCGAACCTGGGCCAGAAACTCTCCAATCAAACACTACTTTGCATATCCTTGAGTGGGGATCATTCCACTTCACGCGCATAATATCAGAGCTAGGTATAATTTTTATACTTTGTATATGGTTTATTATACATTTTAGGCGCACCCTTATCCTTTTTATTTGTTTTTCTCTAACTAAGGAATGTCCACCTCTCTATGACTGAGGTCGACCATACTTTCTTCCTGGTCTGTATGACCTGCTGTCTTGAAAGGAGGGATAATCTGAAGATCTTTTGGACTGAAAGGATCCCCTGGGTCTGTGGTCTTGGGGAAGAAACACTATATTCTGTTCAGTGTCTCTTTTAATACAATCATACTTACCAAACAGCGTATCTCCATGAAAGGGAAGAGCACACAAACTGGATTTTGAGGAGGAATCAGCGGACCAGTATCATGCACAGGAAAGGTTACTCTTTTTCTCCTCAGATCCGAGAAGTTGCAGCTAGAAGTGGAGGGTTCTTCTTGTCACGTATTCATCCGCTTATAAAAATGTGGCTAATGACATTTCCTGCCCACACAGGAAAAGTTGTGCCGAGCAGCAACCTAATCCACAGAAGGGTTAATGCTGAGCAGCAATTATACAAATGGAAAACCTGGTAACTGCTTTGGGGTCAAAGGCCAGTTACAGCCTATCAGATCTAGAGGAGGGGTATTTAGGCCCAGTTCTCACCCTGCTCAGTGCCCTGTCGTGGTTTCCCTTGTGGTTGTCCGAGAGCGCCTCATTGATTCTGGTTATTTGACTTTGGCATTGATTTTGACTTACCTGTTTTCTGGCATCCCTGACTCCTGGCTTTTCCTTATCGTTGTGTCTCTTTCTGTATCCCTTGACCTCGGCTATTCCTGACTATTCTTTGGTACGTTAGTCCGGCCATTCTAAGGTCCGGTATACGTTACCTGGGGGATCTGGGTGAACCACATATCCAAAATTCACCCAGATCCGTTCAGTACTTTGGAAAATACAGTTTAATGCAGATTCTGCAGAACATATACAGGCTAAATAAAAAACAATCACTGTATAATGTGTCCCCTGCTGTATAGTCCAAAACCACCGCACGATGTCTCTGTGCAACAAATACTGGCGAGATGGCACCGTGTTGAAAAGTCCACACAGTGTCTGTGAGTTAAAATGGCCGCCATCCATTGTTCTCACCATGTGCTTCTGATACAGGAAATGGTGGCCACCTAGTAACTCCACAGTATGTCCCCAGATGGTTCTTAAAAGGGCCAGCAGCAGCACAACACAAATCCATTATGCCCAAATCATGTCTTTAAAGGGCAATACATCCCAGGGGCCATAGTCACATGGCAGGAGGCTGGCAACCAGGCTTCTCCAGTGCATAGTGGCGAGGTTGGTTCCGCCACACTTCTCCCCTTTACCAATCAGACTAACAGGGTATCTGACCTCCTGCCGGTCAGTGCCCTTGTTAGTCCAGCAGCCCACCCACAAAACACAATCAGTAATACAGCCCACCCACAATAACTGGCTACTACACCTGGGTAGAGGAGAACTTTGTCCGTGTCCAGGTGCCTCACCATGGCTGTGTGGGTGACTGGTAAGCGTACTGGGTGGGTTGCTGAGTGGGCAGAGACCAGCGGTACTCTGTCCTGGTGCCAGCACTACCACGGGAGTAGTCTGGTTGGAGCCTGGTTGCTGGAGGGTTGTCTTCCCAGGACCCAGGATCATTTTGTATTCCTGACACTTCTTTAGAAATTTCCTTTAAGCTTAGGCACTTGTGGACTCTGGTTATAAGGTGATCCACAAGAGCTGGTTCAAGGAAATCTGGAGTAGAATGAATTTCTTCCTCAGAAGAAGAATTCTTATCTCATATTAATCCATATCCATGGATTCATCTGATGATTCATCTTGTGAATATTCCAATGGGTAAGGATACATTGGTCTTTTGCATGTTTTACCAGCTTCTTTAAGGTCTTGGGATATTGCATGTTTGATATACTGAATTAACTCTGGTGCCCGATTAGAGGTTCCTGCTGCTGCCAATAAGCAATTTGCGAGAGACGTTTCCCTTTTGTCAAAGGCTTCACATCTATTTCTCTTGGGTGACTTTCCTTTTGATGACCCAGATGATTTCTTTCCCATAGAACTATCATGATAGGGAATATATAAGTAGGCAGGACTCTTTTGTTTGTAATAAGCGTATAACCGAACATTATAAAAATATAATGGCTTACCTATGACTCTTGGAGTGTGGCCTAACATTGTGAGATGATGAATCAGAATGTGAGAAGGATCTTCCTTTCTGCATAATTAGCCATTTGAAATTGCTACGGAACAAGATATTGAAATTAGTATATAAAAAAAGAATTATACATTTCAATCACAGAAATAAATTGCAAATATGTCTTTAAGAAGTCAAACCCATACCTGATAGAAGCTGAATTTAAAGTATCACCAACAAGAAGCAAAATGGAAAATAAAAATGCTGTCTGGAGGAGATCCTCTAGGCGTGAAATGAAAAGTCAGGTAACTTTCCTTTGATTTTGGCACTTTAAAAAGGGCGCCAGACGTAATTAATGACATCACCTAATTTGTGGCCGGAATGTGCAAAAGAAATCCTGAAAAATGTGGTTAATGGCTTTTACTGTCCTGACAGGAAAAGTTGTGCCGAGCAGCAATCATGCACATGGAAACCTGGTAATTGCCTTTGGGGTCAAAGGCTGGTTACAGCCATTTGGATCCACAGGAGGGGTATTTGAATCCAATTCTCCTCTTGCTCATTGCCCTGTCATGGTTTCATGCATATGGTTATTCGAGAGTGCGTTCCTGATCTTGATTTTCTGGTATTTGACTTTGGCTTTGTTTTGACTTTTCTGATATCTGGTATCCTTGACTTTTGGCTTTCCCTCATCTTTGTTTCTGATTCTGTGTCCCTGACCTCAGCAAGTATTTTGACTATTCTTGGAGATGTTAAGTCCGGCCACTCTAAGGTCCCGTTATACGTTATCCTTATCCTTCTAAAAAAGTGGGCATCGTTGCTTTACCCGCTGCTACGTCTTCGACTTCCGAAATTCCCATACAGTATTGGGAAGTTAGAGATTCGTTTAGTAAAAGCCAGACAATGCTCTTCCTCCACACAGGTCTTATGATTGTTCCATTGATCTGTTGCCCGGGGCTATGCCTCCTAAAGGAGCGGTATATGCCCTATCCCCACAAGAAAGTAGAATCATGGAAGAGTATATCAAGGAATCTTTAAGTAAAGGCCATATACGTAAATCATCCTCGCCTGCTGGTGCAGGGTTCTTTTTTGTAGCTAAGAAAGATGGAGTATTACGACCTTGCATAGACTACAGGGCATTTAACTAGATTACTATATGAAATGCCTATCCCATACCCCTTATATCTGAATTGTGTGATAGACTCCATGGTGCTAAGATCTTCACTAAGCTTGACCTTAGGAGTGCGTACAATTTGGTGAGAATTAGGGAGGATTGTGAATGGAAGACAGTGTTTAACACTAGGAGTGGGCACTACGAATGTCTTGTTATGCTCTTCGGGTTAAGCAATGCTCTGGCCGTATTTCAAGACTTCATTAATGATGTACTCAGAGTCTAAATTTACTCTTTTGTGCTTGTATACCTGGATGATATCCTTATTTATTCCCCCGACATCCAAACTCATCATGATCATGTCAAACAAGTTTTATAAACTTTGCTTAAAAATGGTCTTTATTGTAAACTTGAGAAATGCGTATTTGATCAACATGAGGTTCAGTTTTTGGGGTATAACATTTCTGCCTCTGGTTTCCAAATGGATCCTCGCAAACTAGAGGCTGTTCTACAATGGCCATTACCCAGTGGGTTAAAAGCCATACAGAG